TCTGGTACCGGGAACCGAACTCACGACCTTGCGCTTGCCAGGCAGGCGCTTTTGCCACTGAGCTAAATCCCCAGCCCCTCTAGTAGATTTCTTAAAAAGAAATAGTAAGAGGGTTCAGTTTCTTATACTGATAATACCAAACTTTTAGTTTGTGCCTATGAAATGTAACAAGCCTTAAGGAAAAATTATTATTAGAAAAAAATTATATGTAATATATAGCAAAATGAAACCAGAAACATTCTATTCATTTACTCACTACTCATCAATCCATTTATCCAATGTATACTTACTAGAATTTACCAAATCCCAAGTACTCTTGAGATTGAAAAACAAATATTGCTCTTACCTTTACAAAACTTGAAACATAGTCACAAAGGGGTGAGTTGAGATTATATTAATAGATTGTATGATAACAAAATATCAAACGATAATGCTGATGAGGATTAGCATGATCAAAGTCACCAATGACCTCTGTGTTACTTCCTCATTGTTAGACATAGTACCTGATACACACAAGTCTAAGGAGGAAAGGTTTATTTTGTCTCACATTTTGTAAAGGTTTTAGTCCATAGTCCCACAGTAGGCTGGCTCCAAGGCACAGGGCATGGCAGAGGACAAAGAGCTCCTGGCTTGGCAGCAGAGCACCCTCAAGGGAGGAAGATGAGAGAGACCCTTCCAGGCCATGCTCCATTGACCCACCTCCTCCAAACAGGCTTCACCTCCCAACAGCACACTCAGCTGTAAACTCCTCAGTGGACTAACCCACTGATGAATATCTTGTCCCCAGGATCCAATCATCTACCAAAGGCCCCACTTAGGAGTGTCTGAGGCTCTGCGGTGACATCAAGATATAAACCATGACAACCCCCATTTTGTCAAAACTAAACATCAATGTTCAGTCATTGACAAGGAATTGGCTGAGTTGATCATTTGCTTATTCTTTACTTGGTGTACACCTGGACTTCCTCCTGTGATCAGTCCTCTAACCCTTATTATACTACAACCAGGGGCGATCTCATTCAGCCATCTGGCTTTAAGCTTTATCTTTACAACGTTGGGCTCCAATTTTCTGATTCTCTCCAATTTCTCTCCAAAACTCCAAAATGCTTTATCCTATTTCCTCCTTGTGTAACAAGCAGCTCATTAACAATCCAATATGTTTTAGGAGGATCATGGAATCCTCTTTAACAATCTATCATTAACAATCTGTCCTCCTGACCCACAGCCCAAATCTGTACTCCAACAGGATTTTTCATCCCAGTAGAGCATTCACTCAGTTGCTCAGGCAAACCCGGGAGTAATCCCCAATATTTTTCTTCTTTCCTCCCTCTTGCAATCTATTAGCACATCTGTGGACTGTGTTTTTATGGTCCTAGAGACTGAACCCAAGACCCTGTGAGTGCTGGCAAACAGTCTGCCATTAAACTACATCCCTAGCCCTAGAAACTGACTCCTCAGACCCCAAGCACATCTTGAATCTGACAGCTTCGCTCCTCCCCTCTGGGTGTCAGCATAGACTCCCCATCATCCCGACCTGGACTTCCGCGGCAGCCTTTGCTCACTAGCTTTCTACTCTCATTCTTGTCCTGTGATTTTTCTACAAAGGGGCCAGAACGATTCTTTGAAAACTATAGTCAGATCATGGCACTTCTCTGTTCAAAACTTCCAGCTGCTTCTCCTTACCCTCTCCCCCCGGATAACATTATGATTCATTTTCTCATTTCCTGTGTTCTTCCCACTCTCTGCTCAAATGGCACTTTATTAAAGAGGTCTTTTTCCCCGGTATCTTCTCAAAAATACTATTCCGTCTGGACTCTGATCTTTATGGCCTGCCTTATTTTTTATCATGCCACTGTGAATTTATTTGCTTATATTTTATTCCCCTCCGGAAAAAAAGAATCCCCCACGGGGATGTTGTCTTTCACTGGCATATTTCCAGGGCCAAAATCAACTTCTAGAATAGAGTAGGCGCTCCGGTGCTTTTATTAACTAAGTACAGTAGGCATTATTCCAACGCTTTAAATATTATTTCTTGAGTCTTCCTAAAACATTGGATTCGCTATATGGATGTCTGTATCTTACAGGTGTGACGCCTGAGGCACAGAATCCGAAGGGAACTTGCCTAGTCCACGGCCACAGTGTGGGATGTAGTGCTCTTCCTGGCGAGTCCTCTACATTCCCTGGTACTCGCAGGGAAGTGAGGAGGGAGACTGGGCTGCTACGGGGCGGCAGGGTGTGCCCAGGAAGCTGAACCATCCAGCCTTGAGCTCACGCCCACCACTCCCCTTCCGGAGCCTGGCGCGCAGAGCTCAAGGACCCGATGGAGGCTGCCGGGCGCGGGGTGTACTTCTTCTAGGCGCGGATGAGGGGCCCCAGAGAGCGCAGCGCCAGGAGGCGGCGGGCGCGGGACTGCTGCAGGCGGCCAGCGGGGAACGCCACGCGCTGCTGCTGCTAACCTACCGCGCCCTGCACCCGTGCGGGGACAACAGCCGCTGCCAGCTGGGCCTGAGAGACGTCTCCAGCAGGGAGCGGCCAGGTGAGCACAGGGCCGGGCGCGGCGTGCACGGGAGCTGGGTGCGGGTACCGCGGGACACCCAGGCGCGGGGCTCTGCGCTGCCCAGCTCACCTTTGTCGGTTTCGTTTTCCCACGCGCCTCGGGTTTGTTTCGGTTTCCAATTCACCGTCAAGCGAAACATAGCGCAAAGTAACCTGGGCCGTGGTCCCCTGGATAGAGATGTGGTCCGTCACCTCCACTTTGCAGAGCGGTCCTCGCCCCGCGAGCGCATCAGCTCCAGACGTGGACCGTGAGCGGACACCTGCCACCAGCCCAGAACACCCTACGATGTTGCTTGTCTTAGAATTTTAAAATATGCAACAGCATTTTTATTGTTATTGTAGTAATATGGGAAAGAAGTTGCCTTTATCCCACACTCAAAGACAGTTGTCACACTCAAAGACAATTCCCAACTTTTGATGCATTTTCTCGTTTTCTTCTATATATATTTAATCTTTATAAACATCGTCAGTATATAATTTTGTATATGCAGTATTTATAGAGCTCTATAAACTGAATTTTTAACAAAAAAGCAATGTCATAAACATTGCCCTTTTATTATGTAGCTTTCTAAAATATATTTTAAATTGCTACGTACCAATTGCTCTGAGAATATCATTATTTAATTATCGCTATTCTTGTAGAAATTAGGCCGTTTCCGTTTAGGGGCTCTTGCTAAGTAATACTGATTGATATATGTTAAGTAAATATTTGACCAAGTTCCTGATTACTTGCTTAGAATAGTTTCAATGAGTGTGAAAGATGAAAAACCTTTCCCCTACCATCTTAGTTTCAGTTCTTGAGACTTGCAAATTTAATATCAAGAAGGATTAACAGGAAAAAAACACACATTTTTTATTAATCTTTACACAAGGAATAATTTATGTCCGTGGGAATTCGTAGAAACAAATGAAACTCAAAAAGGTGCTTAGATTCAGGAACTTATATACCATACTTAACAAAGGAAAGGAGACTTGCGCTTCAGAGGATGATAAATCATGGGGGAAAAACTAGGAAATAGGAGAACAATCTGTGATTTGGTGGATGGAAGTGGGGAGATCACTGTGTTAAGCGAAATAGACCAGACATATAAAGGCCAGGGTGGAATATAAACAGTTGATCCCTTAGAAGTTGAGAGTCTGATAGTGCTTACTAGGCAGAATGGGAGGAGGCAGAGATGGACAGATTATTTAATGGGTACTCAGTGACAGTTACATAGCAGTAAGAAGTCTGGTGGAAGTAGGGTGACTATAAATAATGATAATGTACTATTTCAAAAGCTAGAAGAAAGGAGTTTGAATGTTTTGAGTATAAAGAAATGATAAATGTTTGAGGAGGCAAGTTTAACTTCATTTAAACGTACACAGTGTATACTTATTGAAACATTACATGGTACTCCACGTACATGTACAGTTTTTATGTTTTTTATGTCTCAGTTGAATTTTTTAAAAATCTAAAAGGAAGACATGAACATTTCTTGGAAAAACAAAAGAAAATTAGCAAAAATCAGTCCAAATACACACTATACTATGTATATGAGAATCTAAGAGGAGATAAAAGTTATTTCAGTAAGGGTTGTTGACGCAGTCTTGTCTTGGTACTGACTCTATTTTCTTGGTGACCATTTTCTTTTTGGCATGAGGCAAGGAGACACCTTCATAAAAGGAAAATAATGTCCTGTTTTTAAGCATATAAGAAGAGGGCAGTGAGTCCCTTCCTCAGGAGGAAATCGGAAGGGAGGCTGCCTCGTGGGTGTGCAGACACTGGAACCTCTTACATTGAAGAGTGAAGGGATATTACTTATTGATATCTTCTGTAACTCTCACTGTTCAGTGTGGGTAAAGCAAAAGAGTAGAGCAGGGAAGATCCTGCTTTCTCTTTGGTCCCTTTATTTGGTAAAGTTGACTCCCACCAGAATGGAGAAATATTTGGTCTAGCATCTTAGTCCGTAGAGGGTACCCTTCTCTATGATGCCCACCATTTTATCAACTGTTAAAGGTGAACTGAGGTACACTAAAATGTTAAAGATTTTATTTGACTGCTCAGTAAACTTGTGGACAGGACAGCACCAGACCTGGAGCAGTTGGGCTCAACTGAGGGAATATCAGGGAATTCCAGGAAGAAACTTTAAAAAGGTGTTTGAGTAAGCAAGATGAAAAGAGTCTTGATTAGTTAAAATGGAAAGTCTCTAGTTAGAGGTCAGTGGGCAATCTCTAAGTGGTAGTGTCCTTGATGGATTCTGATTAGCTGTTGTTCAGTTTCATTTCTTAGGCTAAGTTAGGCTTCCATTTGCTTACACGGGAGTCCAAGATGTTAGAACCGTCTCAGCCAAATGATGTTCCAATTATTTTAATGTGGCCATATTCTCATAAAGACAATGTAACATATACTGAGCTTCTTTCCTTCCAGTAGTTAGAACAGACTTTAGGCTTTGACTTAAAAATACCGTTGAAGACAAGAAGTCTGGAAGACCCTTCTTTTTGAATGAAAGTATTGTCTTAAACTTGTTAATAACCTTCGGGGGCAGATTTTGATTTGCTTTTATTCCCAAAGAACCAATCCAGGTGTTGGCAAATCTACCTGTTGATCTTGTGAGCTGTGGGAAGGAGCACTCCCCACTCTCTGCCATAGAGGAAAGGTCTTCGCAGGGGAAGTGGGTTCTGGTGGACAGCTGGGGACTGGAAAATTTGAGGAAATCAGTTTTATCCCTCAGTAAGTATGTCAGTTTCTTCCTTCCTTCAGTATTTTTGAGTATCATGAACTAGGCCCTATTTAAGATGCCAGGACACAAAGATAACTATGACAAATACAGTCCCTAACCTCAAGGATGACAGTGTAGTAAGGAAAAAAGATAGGGAAAAAATATAATGCTGAGTATTTAATTATAGTTCCATGAAGGAAGGGCAAAGTGAAATCAGATGTGACCCTTCCATCTTAATGTTATTTTTTGGAAGTAACTGTGGGGACCCATTTGTACCCCCACAGTGAGCACAAAGATTATTTTAAAATACATATGAACTACAGAAGATGCAGAAAGCAGTCTTATTACCCTAAATAAGGATTAATAGATTTTATATCATTTAATTATAGGAAAATAAAAGCTCTGGCTGATATAAAAATAATACAAGTTTCCTGTGGACACTACTACTCCCTGGCATTATCAAAAGGTAAAAAAAAACACTTGGATCTCTGAGTAACTAGAAAGCAATTTTTTTAATATGAATGATAACTTACTTTCTTATCACTGGGACTCACTACCCAACACCCACAGTTTTAAAAAAGGAGAGGTTTACTTGGCTTATAGCTCAGCCCATGGGCAGTTGGCTCCAGGGAAGAAACGGCATGGTAGAAAGTCCTGGCATCCAGAAAGAGAGAGAAAAAAAAGGAGTAGGGGAGGGAGGTTTACCATGTCAGGTCATGTTCCCAGTGACTGGCCCTTTCTGACCAGGCCTGACCTCCAAACAGCAGTTCAGCTATGGATTCGTCAGTGGATTAACACTGATGATTATAGCATCCCACGACCCAGTCATCATCCCACACCAACCACTGAGCACGCGAGGATTTTGGCAGACATTAAAAAAATCTAAACCATAACAATACTGTTGGTTTATTAGGATTCATTTTAATGTATTTAGAAGTTTTTAACTCTCTAGGTTTTATCAGATGTAGTGTTATTCATATTTTTTTTCCAAGTTTCTTTGGTCTTATACTGTAAATAGTGCCTAACTCATATCTTACCATATAGGTCTCCTGTTCATAAGACCTGACTGGCCAGCTCCGTCAGAACTTAATAGTGGCTTCATTTCCAGTGCTTTGCCCTTTATTCTGTATGGTTTGTCCATACCAACAAACTGAGAAAAGGGGATATCTGACTCTTTTTGTTATATCAAAGAAAAAAGTCAAGATGTCAAAATCTTGACATTACATTTTTCTACTAACCCCTCCTATACTTTTTGTCAATGTAAACTTCTCAGTAGAAAATGTGGGAAAGGAAAATCTACGCTCTTGTGTATCTGGGGCCTTCAAATTCATTGAACAGAAGATAGATTAGCAGAGACAAGAAATCTAGTCTTTATTCATATTTGTGTGCACAGACATTCAAAGAAAAGAAACTAAAAGAAGTGGTTAGATTTGGGGACTTCTAGATCACTTTAACAAAGGAAAAGGAGTTTGGGCTTAAAGGAATGAGAAGTTATAAGTAAGTGACTGGAAAATATAAGGTGTAACCATCGGAAGGTAAGGACGGTAAAATAATTTTAGTTAGATTTGTTTATGCAAACTCATCTCAGTTCCAACTCTGTCTCCAGGGGAAGGGCTGCTTCCTGCTCTAGTATGAGAGAGGGAAACCCCTTCACTAGGAAACACTTATACCTGCCTCTTCGGCAGATAAGGGCTGGAAACTATTTTTGCATCTGTTGATTCTCAGTTGCCTTCATGTCAAAATAAACCTTATGCAATAATGACACATTTTGGGGTGGCCTATCCTGATCTCTTTCTAGGGTCGTGCAATGGTTGCTGTCCTTCAAGCGATATGTTACACATCTCTAGAACCATATCACAGGGGCTTTGTGTAGCTAATGTTTACTGCTTGCTTTCTGTGTGCGTACTCCTGTGTTAAATGTTTGACATGTGTTTTCTCATATGATTTCCTAGAAAACAGGTATTATTCACATGCTTATTTCACAAATGAGATAATTTAGGCACAGAGGCTTCAAATAATTTAACCAAAGTTAAAACACTAAGAAGTAGAAGAGATGAAATTTGAACCTATATTTGTTTACATCCCAATATCCACTGCAACACATGGCCTAAGACTAGCTTATATCCCATGGCAATTATATGATTTCTTCCACCTACCATCTCTAGCTGTTTGGGCACACTGAACACCTTAAATGTATATGATCTTTGTCAACTATACCTCAATAAAGCTACAAAGTATTGTAGAAGTAAGGCAGTAGTTTCACCTTGAGTTTAGTTTTCCAGTGTGTGTGCGATTCTGAATTTCTCTTCTTTATCTTGTAGTTGGGCAAGTGTTTTCATGGGGAAAGAACAGCCACCTGCAGCTGGGCCTAGGGAAGGAGTTCCCCTCTCAAGCCAGCCCTCAGGAGGTGAGGTCCCTGCAGGGGATCCCGCTGGCTCACGTGGCTGCAGGAGGGGCTCACAGCTTTGCCCTGTTTCTCTCTGGAACTTCGTTTGGCTGGGGAAACAACACCGCAGGGCAGCTGGCCCTCAGTGGGAATAAGGTCCCACCAGTTAAGAAGACGGTCTTGTTCTTGCACTCAATTGTTATTTCTTTCCAACTGGAAGACCGACCCAGCAAGGGCTGGGCTCACAGGTTAAAGTGGTTCCCAGACTTTGTGACAGATTAGCATCACCTGGGACATTATCATAGCTTCCTATGGTTGCTGTAACTAATTCCCACAAGATAAATTCATTATCTTACAGAGGTCAGAAGTCTGACGTGGTTCTGGGCTAAAGTCAAGGTGCCGTCAAATCCACCTTCCTTTCTGCAGACTCTGGGAAGAATCACTTTCATACTTTTCCCAACCTCTAGAAGTCACCTGCATAACTGGCTCAGCCCTCTTCTTCAAAGTTAACAGTGGCCAACTGTTTTTCTCACATCATTCCTCTGACACTGACCCTTCTGCCTCCCTCTTCCTCAGTTAAAGGGTCTTTGTAATTAATTGGGCACAGCTGCATAGTACAGGATGCTCTCCCTATTTTAAGGTCAACTGATTAGCAATATAATTCCAGTTGTTCTCTATCCTCCCTTTGCCATGTAGTCTAACATATTCACAGGCTCTGAGGTTAGAAAGTGGTAGACTTATTCTTCAGGAGGCTATCTTCTGTCTACCATAAAATCCCTTTAAAAATGTCCAGGTTAAACCCATGCTGATTTTTTGGTTGTTGTTGGTTTTTCTTTTTTTTCCAGTACAAGGTTCCTAACTCACCACCTTGTGCTTGCCAGGCAGGCGCTGTGCCGCTGAGCTAAATCCCCAGCCCCGACCCATGCTGATTAAATCAGGATGTCTGAGGCTGAAAGCCAGGTTTCAGTCAGTCTTAAAGATCCCCCAGTGTGCAGCAAAGTTTGGGAACCACTAGATTTAAAGTCTGCTAGTGTTAGAGGAAATGGCCAGTTCCTCAAAACAAAAGAAAATTCCTGTAAACAACCAGTTCCTCTAATAACAAAACTCATCATGAAATATTCTCCAAGAACCTTGTACTCAGAGAAAATATGGCTGCATTCATAAACGTAATGAATAATTTTAGTGGTATAGGTACCTGGAATAATTCTATGCTATCGTTGTTAGACTGATGACAGCCCAATTTAATACTTTTTAAAGTGATGTTCTGTAGTGAGCCAAATAGGAGTGTTTTACCAGATGTTAAGTTTTTATGGCAGTAAGTAGGGAAGTACGCATGCAAAGAATTTTCTCCTTCTGAAAAGAAATGAATAACAAGTTGTAGGAATAGTGTTAACTTTTACATTTTTGAAATTTCTCATTCTTGGTCATCAGTAAACAGTGTGAGACATGTTTAGATAACAGACACAAGGACCTTTTACTCCCTTGTTCAGTTCTTTGCATTCATCTAGTATATAGTTAACACTCATGTGCCAGTACCATGTGAGCATTTACATCTTATTTTATTTAACACCCTCAACGTGAGGTCAATTCTCTTTACTATTATTACATATTTGCAGAGCACCTACTATGTAACTGAATTGAATACAACATGACAGCAGTATTATCGGGAGAGTCTTGAAGCTTAGGTTCTAGGCCAGTAGCCTTGGGCATTCCCTAAGGATTTCCATAATTCATTCCATAATGTATTCCTAAGCATTTCCAGAAAGAAATGCTAAGGGACAGCTTTCTTGTCTTTTCCAAAGCACAGTTTTCTCTCTTTTATACTTCTGGTTGTTCCCTTTTCAAATCATATTAATGAATTATAAGATAATAATTATATAAAAGATATAAAAATATTAAAACTCATTAAATTCTGGGTTTGTTTCTTGAATTCTAGAATTCTGCTTTTTTTTGACAGTGCAAAGCTATAAACCTCCTTCAGTTGGGGAGCTGAAGAATCTAGGTGTGATTTATATCAGCTGTGGTTATGAACACACTGCAGTGCTTACTCAGGTAATCCAAAACATGTTGCTAGTTCTTAAAATCCTAGAGAAATGTTAACAAGGTACATGTGTTAATTATTGTTGAAAGCAAGATGTCATAGTCCTTTCAGGCTCCTACAATAGAATATCATAGACTTGGTGGCTTACAAATAACAGAAATTTATTTCTCACAGTTCTGGAAGCCAGGAAGTCCAAGATCAAAGTGCCAACAGATTCCCAACAAGGACCAACTTTCTGGCTCACAGACGGCCATCTTTTTGCTGTGTCCTCACAGCAAGAGGTGAAGGGTCTCTTGAGTCCTGTTTTATAAGGACACTAATCCCATTTGTGACGGTTCTCTTATGATCTAAGCATCTACCAAAGGCTCTCACCCCTGCATATCATCACATTTAGGGTTTTGACATATAAAGTTTAGGGGACACAGCTGTCCAGACTACTGCATAAGATGTATAACAATATCCAGCCATATCTTCTCAGTGCACAAAAATCTGAAGTGATGGACCAAATATAAATCAATTTTCAAAATCCAATAATAAAAGTTAATGTCAGCTTTAGGAAATATGTTTAGATAGCAATTAGATAAATGTAGGAGCTAATCTTTTAGTATTCAGTAGCCCACTTTACAGCCTAGAATATCCTTTGTTCCATTTCCTGCTTGACACAATTATGACCTAGTTTCATTAATGTTTTTCTCTGCTTCTTGTCCTAGCCATCAATATATCCCAGTAGCATTGATAGATTGAAACTATTTGTACAGTCAAAACCTTTGTTTAAAAACTATGTATTCCAAATGAATTGATTGATTTATGTATTTACTTATGTATTTATTTATTTTGTGGTGCTGTGTATCAATCCCAGAGCTTCAAACACGCTAGGTAAGCATTCTACCATTGAACTCAGCAAATGATTTTTGTTTGCTTTAAAAGCATATCTTTTTTAAAAAATCAAGTCTTGGGGGATATTTTTTATGCTTTTAAAGAAGAAGACAGCTTTTTTCTTTGTTAGTAAAAACATTATGACCACTAACCTTCCAGGTTCACACCGTAACCTCTTAATTAAATAACATAGCTTCGATACAAGCTTTTTAGCAAATGCCTTGTGGAGAGACTACATTAAACCTAGGATGCAACAGCTTTCACCATGGTGATTACCTTTACACTTTTAAAGTGCATTTTGGTTATCAACTAACAGGTTTCATTTGGCAGAGTTGTACATGCACAGAACATACTTTAATCATTCCCCTCATCATTGTAAAAGCATATCTTAAACTAGAACCCCCTCAGTTGTTTGATTTATGTTATTCTTAATTGATAGCAGAAAGCTAGAATTGTCTTTTAAGTATTTTTGTTTCCTTGGCTGAACCCAGGGCCTTCACACGGCTCACCTCTTTTTATTTCTTGAGACAGGGTCTCACTAAGTTGCTAAGTTGCCTGGGCTGTGCTAAAAAGTGTGTGATCTTGCCTCAGCCTCCCAAGTAGCCGGGATTGCATGTGTGAGCCACAACAGTTGGCCAGAGTCATTTTTAATTGTGGAATCATCTTTTGAAAAATGTATTTTCAGGAAAATGCTCAAATAAATAAAAGCAACCCTGTACTTCAATGTTGATGTTACTCTTGAACCAGTTAACTTGTCCATCCATTCATTCAGCAAACACCAAACGCCTAGTTCTTTTTCTCTTTATTTGGATATAACTGACAAAATGTGTATGCATACATGGTGCACAATATGGTGGTTTTTGTTGTTGTTGTTGTTGTTGTTTTGTTGTTGTTTTTTTCTGGTACCAGGAATCAAACTCACGACCTTGCACTTGCCAGGCAGGTGCTGTGCCACTGACCTAAATCCCCAGCCCCCTATGATGTTTTAATATATGTGTACACTGTGAAATGACTACCATGATCAAGAAAGTTAGCATATCTTACCTCAGATGATTTCCTTTTTATGGTAAGAATCTTTAAGAGCTACCCTTTTAGTAATTTTCTAGTGTGTGACATATCATTATTAACTATAATTCTCATACTATATAACACATCTTCAGAGTGCCTGGCTTTTAAGGAAATGTCAATTTTTTCATGCTTAATGTGTTAAACCTACATTATTCACTTTAGGAATAATAAAGGACCTCTCCTATTTATATGGAAATTATTTTTCACATATTACTTTCTTAGGGTATTTATTCTATAAGCATTTATTCTATAAGCATTTAGTATTTATTCTATAAGCATTTAGTTACATTTTTAACATGAAATTAATCTGATTTCTCCTTTTGAAAAAACAGAGTGGCCAGTTGTTCACATTTGGAGGCAATAGCTTTGGACAGCTGGGGCATAGCCCCTCGGCCCAGATAATAGGCCACAACTTGTGGAAAGGACTGAGGGCCAAGTTTCACAGATAGACTGTGGAAGGTAATAGGCTTTTGTTTTGTTTTATTTTGACATGGGTAGAACAATTATATTAGAAGCAATTAATCTGTAATCATACCAACTTTAAGACCCTAAAATACATCTTTTATAGAGCACATTTTCCCTCAAAATTTACTTCTGTAAAATATAGTTTAAATTTTCAGTTTTTGGGCTGGGGATATAGCTCAGCAGCATAAGTGCCTGCCTGGCAAGTGCAAGGTCCTGAGTTCGATTCCCAGTACAAAAGAAAAATTTCAGTTTTTATCTATATCCTAGACTTTTAATTAATTAATTTCTTAACAATAAATTATTAGGAGTTTACTGTGTGTAGATCACTTTAATAGGAGCTCAAGAGTAGGGGATTGGTTCATAACACAAAACAGTGCTTCACTGCTTCAGTTAAGATAAAATTAATCTCACACATGTAGAACATGATATACATTCGCATGTGCACTCAGGCAGTTTAAGTATTTGAGTATTTAACCCAATGCATTTAAAAGTGCTTGCATTTAAAATACAAGTGATAAAAAAACATAGTAAAAGCCTATCAATAATATTCTATCTTTAAGATTAGCAATAAGTTAATAGTTACTGTTTAGTCACATTATCTGATGCCATCTAACACTGACAGTGTGAAAAAAACTGGGTATTGAATAAAGGTAAATCGGTTATTCTGTGTCAAAAGACATCATCTTTCTCAAAAACCATGAATACCTGGGTCTTCATTATTATTACACATTCTCTCCTGTAGCTATCACACCCTTGCCTACATCTATACCACTGGTCAGGTGGTGTCTTTTGGTCCTGGACCAAGCAATCCAAGTCATCTGGAGACCCTAACAGAGAACTCTGACATTATATGCCTGATTTCTGCTGATGGTATGAATGGTCCCACTAATTTGTGATTTTGTATTAGTGCCACTGAAGTGGAAATATTATTCAGCTTCCTTTCAAATGAGTCCATAGAATTATGATTCTTTGAGTCCTTTTATTTTAAATTTTTGCATTTTTCTTATGTAGTGATTCCTGTAGTAATTAGTAATTATTTCTAAAAATTAATGCAATATAAAGGAGGATTCCAAATTCGTTATTTAAGTATCAGCACAATATGCTTTTAGTATTTAATCAAACCTCTCCTAAAGCACATCAATCTGTATTCGCTGTGGAAGGTGCTAGAAAACTAAACTTTAAGTGAATATATGATATTTAACCTGATCAAAATTAATCTTTTCTTCTGTTTATAGTTGAAATTTATAAAAGTATAAATGGCCAGTTAGTGAGTAAATTTGGTGTGGTTATAGATCAGATCTATTTTTTACTGCTAAAAACTCTAAGACGGACTTCTGACTTTGTTATAGATCTCAGGGATATTCAAGTCAAGCACATTTTTGCTGGAACATATGCCAACTTCATGACAACTCATCAGGTATCTAATACGCCTTCTGTTTCTTTAACAAGATTTCTTTCCTCTAGTTTTCAGAGTAGAATAAAAGGCAATCATCATTCATATATATTCATATTTCTTACTAAAATAATAAGGTTCTGTTAGAATATTTTGAGAGAATATTATGTAATTCTCACTTCCTCATTTGTCAAACTTCCTAATGGCTATAACCTCCAAACTCAAGTGTATTGCTTTTGTACTTTTTATTAGTATATTATGAATGATGGTAAGAACAGTAATGACTAATCTTAAGTGAAATTATCACGTGTCAGGTACCAATCAAAATCTTCTAAATGGATGAACATATTTAATGTTCACATTGACTCCAGTAATTAACTTTAAAGATGAAAAAACTGAGTCAAACAAAGAGCGTTGAAGGTGGAGGGAACTGCGCAGAGAAAGGCCCTGGGACAAGAATAGGTTTAGTATATGTGACAGAAAGGCAGCCAGTGAGGGAGAACACAGGAAAAAGGACGGAGAGTTATGTGAGAGGGAGCCAGTGTGAGATGGTGTCACTTTGAAATGTCCTTGGAGAGGAGGTTCGGAGACCTAGTTAGATAACCAAATCTGGAGCTCAGGGAGGATCTCAGTGGAATATAAACATGGCATCTACCAAACTATAGAGGGATTTAAAGCCAAGGGTCTGAATAAAAGGTCACTGTATTTCCTATGGTAAATGACCTCCCTGAAAACGTGCCACTTGCAAAAGATCTCCTTCATCCCTCTCCAGAAGGCAAAAGGAAAACCAGGAAGAGCACCCCGGTTTCTGCCTCATGGAAACAAAATGCCCAGGATGTTACAAAGCCTTATGGTCTTTCGCCATGCAAGGTGGCAAGTTTGCTTGGTATGCTGGCTGCTGCACTGTCCACTGCCAGCCTGTGGGAGGCAAAGCAGTGCCTACAGGATGCTCCTTCAGGAGGCAGCACCCAGAGCACCCTGAATCAAGACTGGTAGAAAACTATCCCAGTAAACACATCACATTTTGAGTTAAAAAGGAAAAGAAAAGGCCAGACATGATGGTACACACCTACAGTCCCAGATACTTGGGAGGATGAGGCAGGAGCCATGTTTGAGTTTGGGAGTTTGACACCAACCTGGGAAACACAGAGATAGCCCTACTGAAAAGAATAAAACAAAGTCACCCAGAGAGAGAGAGAATGAGAAGAGGTACAAAATCAAGCCTTGAGGAACTTCTCCGTTAGGGTCAAACAGCAAAGAGTGAGAAAAGGAAATGGAGAGTGGCTGCTACTGGCATCTAGTGAGGAGGGGCCAGGGATACCACTAAATATCCTGCAAAGCACAAAACAGCCCCTCAAAACAAAGACTTATCCACCCCCAAATGTCAGTTATCTAGATTTAGAGAACCTTGCCCAGGTATGGATGGCTGCAGCAGAGAAGAGGAAAAGCGCAAAGAGAGAGATTAAGAACTGAGTCTGTGGTGGAAGATAATTGTGTTTGCTGATTCTGACATTGCCAGGCATGAGTACAGGAAAAACGAGAACAGGCTTGGTGGTGGTGAGAAAGCTTTCAGTGAAAGAAGGGGAGGCAGACGACGTAGCCTGATGTCGTAAATTTGGGAGGGGCTGGGGATTTTTAAAAAGAAAATTAAGAAGTGGTATGTAAGTATGAAAGGAGCATGTCAGCGTCCTAAGATTCCTGGGGTTTAGGAGGAAGGCATCTTGATCAAACTACCAGTCACTCAGGACTCAGATCAAGAAGCTGAGGGGAGGAGCTGGGCTGGAGCTCAGTGGTGGAGCCTGTGCTGTGTGCTTGGCACAGTGTCCTGGGTTCAATCCCCAGCCACTCCCCCTACACCAAAAAAAAAGCTAAAGGGAACTTAAAGAACCATGGTTACATATCATTTCCAGCAGGTCTTTATTTGAGCATTAAGCAAAAGTGACACCGAGTTTCATGATTCATAACAAGTTTAGTAGAGAAGTAAGTATAATTTATATAATTTGTACCAGAGCATTAATATCTTTGAAAGACTATATTGAAGACAAATGTGGGTGGGAGGAACTTGGACTCGGAAACCTTGGTGAGCTGCCTGAGTGCCCTGGTCCTCTGGCTCCGCCCCACGCTGCCATCTCAGGAATGAACCTGAATCCCCAGAAACCTAGGGAGATTTGAAAATGACAAAAAGAAGCAAAATGCAATCTCATCCAACCACCCCACCCAGAACAAGTCCTGAAGACAAATGCTTCTTTCCAGTGATTTTTGACACTTCTGTTTAGCCTATTGGGTCTCCAGTATTACATAGAGTTGTGGTTCTTGGAGCATGCAGTTTTTTTCTGCACTGGGAATTGAACTCAGGAACTTGAATATGCTAGGCAAGCACTCTGCCACTGAGCTACAACTCCAGCTCTACGATGCCAATTCTTATTTTTATGGGTATATGTTGTGATACATAATAATTACATCCATTTTGAGAAAGTAGTACACATATATATTGTATCCTAGTCTTTTTGTTTGTTTGTTTTTTGTCTTTTTGAGACAGGGTTTCACTATGCAGTTAGGCTGGCCTTGAACTCACTTTGTAGCCCAGGCTGGCCTGGAACTCTCAGCAATCCCCCTGCCTTGGCCTCCCAAGTGCTGGGATTACAGGTGTTCGCCAACACACGTGGCCTCATCTCAGTCATTTTTTGTCTCTTCCCTCCCTACTCTACCCTCTGCCCCTTCATCTCCAAAAGTACGCATCCCTATTTCCTATCATCTCTCCTTTACTTCGTTCTTTATTTATATTTTCAGTTTCTCATATAAGAGAAACCATGATGTATTTAACCTTTTGTATCTGATTTATTTCACTTAATATTATAGTCTCAGGATTCATCCATTTTTCTACAATGACTCAAATTTATCATTCTTTATGGATAATATTCCATTATGTATATTATAACACATTTTTTATCCATTCATTATCTGTTAATGGGTATCTAAGTTGTTTCCATAATTTGGCTATTGTGAATTGTACTGCTATACACATGGGCATGCATACATCACTGTAACATGATGACTTTCACTCTTTCAGGAAGATATCCAGGAGAGGATAACTGGGTCAAATGAAATTTCTATTTTTAGTTTACTGAGAAATCTTCATGCTGATTTCTGTAGGGGTTGTACTAGTTTACACTGCCACCAGCAATGTAGTAGGCTCCTTTTACCCCTCATCTGTGTCAGCATTTGTTGTTGAGTCCTTGACAATAGTCATTGTTACTAGAGTAAGATTAAATCTCAGTGTTGTTTAGATTTACATTTCTCTAATTGCCAAAAAAGTTGGGCATTGTTTTTCAAATACTTACTGCTCATTTCTTTCATCTCCTCAGTGCTGACATTGAATAAATCTTTTCCTTTTTATCCCACCAAAAAATAACTTCACGAATTAATCAAGATTTTTTTAAAAGGACAAAACCATATAACAAATATTTTTGTTTCCCCTTCCTCATATAGCTGGGTTAAATAAGCTGTAAGTTATTTATTAATTCTAAGATAAAACACTCATTTCATATCAAAGTTGATACACACTGTATGTTTTCTACTATAAACTTTAAAAGGAAAAACATAAATACTAATCAATTTGTAATTCCCTAATTTAAGTGTAAAAAGATCCTTTCTTTCTCTCACATTCTAGAGTTCAGTTAATTTAAATATGTGATTCCCTTTTTCTTAATTGGACAAGAATAATCAGAGCACAATGCTGGTTCCTTTTAATTGCCGTTACTCGATCCAGTGCAGCTTTGGCTGCAGGTTGCTATAGCAACTAAATTGGGAAAACTGGCAACAAAGCCTAGTAAAACAGTAATCCATTATATACTCTGACAGCAAAGCAAAAAGGTTCCTATAGATTCTGAAATGGATGCATCACCTCTATAGGAAATTGTTTTGGCAGAAATTTGTTTAAAAAAAACTGATGTACAATTAGACAAACATGTTTGTGTATTATGTGACTGAAGTCTGTATGAGCCTACATGCTTGTCAATGGGTCCTGCTCCTAAATGCTTTTATGCCTGATTAATCATCAATGGCAGGCAGGAGTTTGCTCATTAGATTCTTGCAGAGCCCATTTAGATCACAGTGAGCTTCATCCTGAGATGATATGCTAACCACTAATAAACTGAATTAAATTTTTTCTTGTATGAAAATAATATCCATGAGAATCCTCCAAGAGAACTGGATAAATTCTAGTTATTCTCTGCAAAAATACTTACTGGCCATTTGTACATGTTTTGAGAATCGTCTGTTCAGTTCAATTGATCATTTTTTGAGTCTCTTATTTTGGGAATGTGATTTTTTTTTTAGTTCTTTATATATTTTAGATATTAGTTCTCTGAGGAGTAGTTTGAAAAAAATTTTCTCATGCTGTAGGTTGCCTCTTTGTTCTGTTTTTTATTTCCTTTGCTGTGGAAAAGCTTTTTGGTTTGATATAATCCCATTTGTTGATTCTTAGAATTATTTCTTGTACAACTGAGGTTCTGTTCAGGCAGTCCTTGCCTATACAAGGTTTATCTTTAAGTGCTTTGCCTATTGTATATCCCGGCAAATTCAATATTCAGCAGATGTTTGTTTTTATATCTAGGTATTTGATCCATTTCTATTTGATTTTAGTAGGTCTACATTTATTCTTCTGCATGTGGATAGTTTTCATAGCACCATTTGTTAAAGGTTTCTTTCTTCAAAGTTTGTCTTTACCCCTTTATGAAAGATGAGATGACTAAAGGTGTGTGGAGATGTTTCTTTGTCCTCTATTCCATGTGTCTAGTTTGTGCCAGTAACTTGGAAACTGGGATTATAATGCCTCACTCACACTTTGCTCTTTTTGCCACAGGAGTGCTTTGGCTATTTGGGTCTGTTCTAGCTTCATATGAATTTTAGCACTTTTTCTAGTGCTGTGAAAAATGCTATTGGTATTTTGGTTGAAATTGCCTTAGATCTATATATCACTTTTATAATATGGCCATGTTAACAATATTGATTCTGCCTATCTGGGAATGGAAAATGTCTTTCCATTTTCTGATGTTTTCTTCAGTCCCCTTCTTCAGAGTACCATAGTTTTTATCATAGTGGTCTTTCACTTCCTTGGTTAAGCTGATTTCTAGGTATTTAATTTTTTTGGAGTTACTGTGAGTGCGATTGTTTTCCTGATGTCTTTCTCAGTATGTTCAGTATTGGTGTACAGAAATGCTATTGATTTCTGTTTGATGACTTTGTGTCTTATCACTTTGCTGAATTTGTTTATTAGCTCTAAGAGTCTTCTAGTAGAATATTTTTGGTTCTTTCATGCAAAGTACCATGTCATCTGCAAATAAAGATAGTTTGACTTTTCCCTTTAATATTCATATACCTTTTATTTCTTTTTCTTGCCTGATTGCTTCTGCTAAAGTTTCAAAGACTATATTGAACAGAAGTGGTGATTGTGGATCCATGTCTTCTTCCTGATTTTAGAGGTAATACTTTCAGTTTTCCTCCATTTAGTATGTTGTTGCCCATAGGTTTGTCATAAACAGCTTCTATTAGTTGGAGCTAAGGTCCTTCTATAACTATATCATGACTCCAAGTTGGATTTTTCCAAAGGCTTTTTCTGCCTCTATTGAAATGATCATGTGATTTTTATCCTTTTATTTATATAACGTTTTACACTTATTGACTTTACATACAACATTGACTTTACATGTGCTGTACCATCTTTGTACACCTAGGACAAACAGGACTTGGTCAAGATGTATGATTTATATACTGACTTGTTGCATTCTGTTTGCAAGTGTCTTGTTGAGTTTTGTGTCTAGTTTCATTAAGGAGGTTGGCCTGAAGTATTTTGTTTGGTTTGGTTCTGAGTCTTTGGTTTTGATATCAGGGTAGTGCAGGCTTCAAGGAATGAGTTTGGCAGTGTTTTTTTCCTTTCATGGAAAAATTTGAGAAGTATGACATTAGTTCTCTGAAGTTCTGGTAAAATTCAGTGATGAACCCATCAAGTTCTTGGCTTTTCTTAGTTAGTAGAGTGTTTATTACTGACTCAACTTCATTGCCTGTTATTGTTCTATTCTAGGTTTTTATATCTTTTTGTTTCAACTTTGGTAAGTCACATATGTCTAGGATTTTATACATTTTTTCTAGATTTTACAATTTATTGAAATATAAGTTGTTAAAATAGTTTTTTACAGTCCATTGTGTCTATTGTGTGTCCATTATCCATTGTGTCCATGGTGATTTCTAATTACATAGGTGTGGGTCTTTTCTTTCCTTCTTTTCATATAGGTCTTTTTTTTTTTCCATAAGTTTGGCTAAGGTTTATCAATCTTACTTATCTTTTTAAAGAATCAACTCTGATTCATTGATCCTTTGTATTTTTTTATTCTCAATTTCATTAATTGATCATGATCTGATCATTATAATTTCTTATAATGATCATTATAATTTAATCTGATCATTATAATTTCCGTCTTCTTCCTCATTCTGGCTATAGGCTAAAGCTTCTTGCATGTTGGAAGGAATTAAGCATACATCAGCTCAAAATATGCAGAACTGGTATATTGATCATTTGAAGCTGAACCCACCCAGGGAACTGTGACTTCAACAAAAGCTACTAGGCTAATCATTTCTTACATGCAGCAAGCCATAAAGAGGTTTTGGGAAAAAGGTGTCCTCCCATATCAAAATGAAAAAATAGCTTTAAAAACCACATGCCAGTAAGTGGACCAATATTCAGGTTTTAAAAAAACCTTAATAAATAAATTAATGGTAGTAAGCTTTACTTTCCATTAGCTCCAACACTCCCATATTGCAATTGGTGACATCTCTAGAATTTACTGCCCTACTCCAGAGATCCATATTTCCTGCTATTTCTTCACAGATTGTTTTTTGTATAAAAAGTATAAAAGCATCATGCTTTTGTTTCTTCAGACTTTACTCTCTTATAAAGACCCCCATATACAAGTAATTTTAATAAAACTTGTATGCTTTTCTTTTGTCTACGTCTTATATATAATAAGTTAAAATAATGACACATGAATTTTAGAAATATCCTTTTCTGTCTGTTCATGTGGTCTTTTACATTTCTTGTATTCAAAGAGAAACTGAAGAAACAATTTCCATTGATGGGGATTTACAGATGGCAAGAGATACCTTCAAGAAGTTAATGGAAAAGGAATGGATTTCTTACATGGTAATTGTCAATACTTACTTGAGAAATAGAACAATAGCATTTCTTTACAGAAACAAATATGACTGCAGTTGAGTTTTGTGGGGAGTTAGGTGAGACAGAACTACTGTTGGAGTTGTAATGGGGGTTAGTGTTCACTACAAAAGGGAGGATGCTGAATTAACAATAGACAAATAACCAGTACATCTTAGTGTTGTGAGACTGCTATGCCAGAATCCTATAATGGAATTCCATTATATAAATAATAGAAATTAGCCAGATGCAGAGTGCATGCCTCAGGTGGCTGCTACCTTGGAGGCTGAGGTGACAGGATCTCTTGAGCTCAGGAGTTCAAGAGCAGCCTGGCCAAGACAGCAAGACCCCCTCTCAAAACAAAACAAAAACACAATGATAAAGGAAATTTACTACTCATAGTTCTGGAAGCTGGGAAATCAAAGGTGCCAGCATAAATGTAGTCTGATGAGGGCCAACTTTCTAATTTACAGATCATTGTATTTTCTCTGTCTTTACATAGTAGAAGGAGTGAGCGATCTCTCCTGCATCTCATTTATAAGGGAATTAATACCATCTATGAGGACTCGGCTTTGTGACCTAATCACCTACAAAAGCCCTTATTTCTTAATGCTATCACATTGAGGCAGAGGAAAGGGTTCTTCATGAAATGGTTGGGAACGCTCCACGTTGTTATGGAGTTGTGATGCATATTAGTGAGTCACACGTTCTATGATGGCGCACACTGAAAGAAATCTAATTTTTTTGACCCTGTACTTCTTGGAATTACTGATTTTGTGTTGCTGTTTTCCCACATAACACCTACTAGCAATCCATGGATATGGTGTGCACGTAGGCATGTGAAAAACAAATTTTAAGACTATGAATGCAATAAAAGTAACGAGTAGCATTTCACAGTTTGCTATTGTATGTCATCTTCTTTAGTCCTTGTGACATGTACAGGCAAACATTACAGTTTGGGGTATCCATATACTAGATACAGTAACTAATGCTAGCCACTGTAATAAAGAACTTCCGTATCCAGTGGCCTAACACAGTACACTTTTCTTTCTCTCATCCTAGTCCAGTGAGGGGTGGAGGTAGAAGGCAGCTCTGCCCAGGTCTTTTTCCTCACTGGTTCCTTTCTTCCAGTTTCTAGTCTCTCAGGTGGTAAAATCTCCCCTGGGATTGCTTATGCTTGGCCTATGGAAGGTCGCATGAAAGGTTTGTGGGGCCATGCCTGAAAGTATTTCCTGTTACCTCCACCCACATTCCTTAGCTAAGACTCAGTCACAGGGTGCCGTGCTACTGCGGGGGAGGCTGGGAAATGCCATCTTCCTGTGATCCCAGAAGGAGCGTGAGAGGGGTGGATGAGGAGAACATAGGGCGTTTCTGTACCATGTGAGATTTTAGATCTGAGTATGGGTCCCAATGACAATGTGTCACTAATTGAATGGCTTCTTTTCTCTACCCTTTTATAATCCAGTCTCTCCTCCCTCATCAGTAAAACAAAGTTTTCACATAAAAAGGGCAAGGAAAACCTGCCATAGTAATTATGAGTAAGACGAAATAAAGTTGTTTAAATGATGTCACCTGACATATGGTGAGTATGATGTGTATGTACAAGTATACAGACTGCTGCACAGATCATTCCCACTAGTGTGCTTTTATATGCATTCTGCTTTGCACATTTACTTCTGGAAGAAATAAACAATGTAAGAATACAAAGCTCTCTTGCTGTGAAAATTTTTGACTGATCAATGAGAAAAAAACAAAAAGAAGTGGATTTTGTGTGGAGAGACATTAATAGCTTCTCTTGCCAGAAAGGAATATTGATACGATCTGTATACAGTTTTGTCTTTCTATTGATTTTCTTTTCTTTCTTCTTTTTCCTTTTTCTTTTTTTTCTTGAGATGTTTTACATTGCTGGACTGGTCTTGACTTCATGGGCTCAGACAAGCCTCCTGCCTCAGCCATTCTAGAAACTGGGAGTAGAGTCACATACAACTGTGCCCAATTACAGTATTGGTTTTAGAGGGTTTTAAAGTTGTTTTGAATGTGCTTTACTCAGTATGTTCATGCACATGTGATTTCCCTTTATTTCATTCATGCACCCTGATGTAAAGTGGTGAGGATGGCTCTCCCCAGTACTACCTCAGGGCCATTTGGGGTATAAGGAATGATGGGTTTCAAAAATAGGTTTTAGAAAAAACTAAATGATTATTCCAGTTGGAACACAGTGTAATAAAATTCTCAGTCTCATAACTTGCTTCTCACAATACTCTGAATCTAATACTATCTGTATCTTTTCCCTGATCCTGTTTCAACCACAGGTAACTGAATGTCTGCAGGATAATCTGCCTGGAGTTCTTCCATACAATTCTCCACCCCAAGAAGCTCTGGAAATTTTCCTCCTTCTCCCAGAAAGTCCTGTGATGCATGATTCTAAGAAGCGGAGGAGCCTGGTGGTTCCATTTGCAGAGTTTGTTTTTAAAATGAGTAACAGATCTTTACGAGTCCTGAGTAAGTTTTATATCACCGTATCTGCATACTCAATAGGGAGTCACTGTCTGGAGTAGAAGTTATAGCAAATTTTAGACAAAAGTTTCCAAAATACATATGTTTGAGTACCTGGTATGTGAATTAGTGCAAAGATTAACCTAAGTCTATTATAACTATTAGTCTTATCATACAAGGTAAGTGTGGCTCTTAGAACTATAAAATGTTTGTTTTTTAGATAAGGTCTCATTCTGTTGGTCTCAAACTCATGGGTTCAAGAATCCCTTCACCTTAGTCTCCCAAGAAGCTGAAAATAGTGCACATGAAACCACCTGTGGTTTGACCTCAGAGTATGATAGAATATTCAGCCAAGATAAATCCATATTTTGAAACTTTTTGATGTTGTCTTGAAACTTTAAATGTTTTCACCACAGGTGATAAAAACCAAATGTTAAACTTTGTTCTTCTTTATATTATTCCATATTACAGAGACTTTTTTTATAATTTTAAGCTAATGTTGAATAGCTGAAGCTTAAAAGTACAAAGGATATGTACAGTGAAATATAAGCTATCCCAATTCCCCTCCTAGAACGTGGCTACAGATTCTAGTTTCTTGTGTAACTTTCAAAAGATATTCCATGTGTCATTCTTTCTTTACACTTTTATTTTATTTTTGAAGACAAGATCTGGCATGGAACTCACTATGTGTCCCAGGCTGGACTTGAACATGCTATCCTTCAGGTTCACCCTCACAGTGTTGTGACAACAGTCATGCACTACCACAACTGGCTTTCTTTATTGTTTTAATAGTAGGAAACCATTCACATTCTTCCTTTGCAGCTTCTTCCTTAATGGTATATCATGGAGCTCCTTCCATTACAGGACACTGGAATTGCTTAATCTACTTACTGGCTCCATCAATCAGCTTGTCAAAACTATCAAAATAGCTGAGGCAGGCTTGTTATGAAGCAAAGGTATTTAAATCACAGAGTTGGAGGCTCAAGAGTGTGAGGCTGCCATCAGCTCAGTGCTGGTGAGGGTCCTCTTGCTGTGTCATTTCATGGCAATAGTACTGGCAGGAGCACATGTGGGAGCAGATGATCACATCTTGATATAGGAAGCCAGAGCACCGCATGGGGTCAAGCTTGGGCTTTTTAAACAGTCCTCTCCCAAGAACTACCTTACTCCCATCTTGGGTTAGGTCCCCAGATGACCTCCTGCCAGTGCTCACCTCATAAAATCCATGACCGTAGCATTGCCACAATGCGGGCCAAGCTTCCCACACAGGGGTCCTTAGGAGACAAAGCAAATCCAAACCATAGCACTATCTGAAGAAGATTCCTTTGGGAGGATGTACTGTGGGTCATTGGGTGTACTCTCATGTATCTGCCACAGTGCTAACATGCCTTTCTTTGCACGTGTGCAAGTTTACACCTGCAGGGAGGTTTCCAGGAAGCAAAATAATGCATCAAATTGTGCATTGTTATCTTAAAAGATTTTGCTAAATGATACTTCACAGACTGAAGCACAGTTGCAGTGTCGCTCAGTTTGAAGTGGCCAACATTTACATTGTTGTCCACATAAGCTACAGCCCTAGAACTGGGCAACAGGGCAACTCTGATAGAGGATGTACTCATTTATACATTATCAACAAATATTGCCCCCATTCTTTTCAGCACTGTCCTCAAATTTGACTTTTGCTATATAATAAAAAATCTCTTTAATTTTAATTTTTCTCATTACGGATGAGGTTGTTCTGTTTTTCCTATATATCTCAGGTCCATTTGATCATCATATTCTATGAACTACTGGTTGTTCCCTCAGCCCCTTCCATTGGGTTTTAGTATATTTATTTTAGAAGCTTTAAACTATTACAGCAACTCACCCTTTATTAATAATAGAAATTAAAAGTAGGTTTTTCCTTAGGCTATTTTAAAAATGTTACTGTATGGTATTTTTGTTATTAATAATTATTTTTAAACATTTGTATGATCTGCTATTGTAATATTTTCTTTCATGGTTTGTAGATTTGGGGGGGGTCATACTTCAAAAGGCCTACTGCACTCTGAAAAATTTATTAAAATTCTAATATTCCTACTATATTTTATATTTTTAAATGTTTTAATTGACAGTAATTATGTAAATGTATACATACAATATAACATTTTAGTACATGTATACCGTGTATAATGATTAGATCAGAGCAACTGACATATTTATCATCTCAGTCATTTATCGTTTCTTTGTATTCAGAATATGCAAAGTCCTCTGTAGCTATTATGAAATATTTAATTAATCATTGTTAGCCATGGCTCTTCTGTCATGCTTTAGAGCATTAGAACTTATTTTTCCTGTGCAGCTGCAGCCTGCACCACTCAGCCATCCTCTCTCCAGCCCCACCCCACCCCACCGCATCCCCAGCCTCCTGGGCCCCCCATAACCTCTTCACTTCTCTGAGGTCATCTTGTAGCTTCCTCATGGGAGTGAGAACATGCCCTGTGTGTCCTTCTGTGCCTGACTTGTTTCACTTAACACGATGCCCTCCAGTTCCACCCATGTTGCTGCAAATGACAGAACTTCATTCTTCCCCACTATGATTTTTATGAGTTCATTTTTATGTTTCAATCTTTGAACCACGTGGAATTTATCGTGGTTAAGTGTTATGTTTTATACACCAGTTTCCAATTGTCCATGCACAGTTATTAAGTGATCTGCTTCATTCTTACTAATATGCAGGGCCAGCTTTACCATACGCTAAAGTCTCGTGTGTAGTTGGATCCATTTATGGAATCTCTACTTTGCTATATTGAGCTGCTTTGCATGCATCTGGTTAATGCTGTTTTAATTACAGTAGCATGGTAATTCATGTTATCATTTGATACGGTTATTTTCCGAGTATTGTCTTCTGAAGGTACTAAATTTCAGTTTGCAATCTTAGTGAATGAAAATATAATTATTTAGCATTTTAAAAAATGTACCTCCCTATGTAACCATTGTTCATAAAATCTGAAGACATACATAATAGTTTCATTTTTTAAATGAAAAGTATCCTTCAAAATATTTTGTATGTGCATGTGTATTCACCTAGGTGTGTTTTCAGATTGTATAGGTACCCTAAAAATTTTTCAGTTTGAAAATTATGAAGTCAGTAAATTAAGCATAAATGTGAACCATCAACAAATTTCTTCAAATCCTGAATTTGGGCTTTTAGTCCTAATGATAATTAATAAGAGAAAAAATCTTTTCCCCATGTCTGTAGGTAATCAGTGTTGTCCAGGATGATAGAATTACAGATTATGTTATCAGAAATGGAAAATATTATGTTTACCATACTAAAAAACTTGGTTAAAACTGTGGAGCTTGTGGGTTGAGAAGAGGACTGTATTTGTATTTATCATGGTTGATTTTACCTGCTCAGAAGTGTGCTGGAAATCTTCGGAAGCATCTTCTCTGAACACATTGGTCCAGATGCTTAAGACAGCCATCATCTCTGAACTTCATTATCCAAACTATCTAAATACCTGTAATCTCAAAACTCTGCTAAAAATGATGAAAGAAGTGCATAGGGTAAAGCTTCATATAAAGACCGTAAATTTCAGTTTATTAAATCACAGTCCCTTAGATCTTAGCATATTGGGGTCATTTTTTTGTTTTTTTCCCTTTTTTTCCTGATTCTGTATTAAACACAGGGCCTTCACCCTGAGCTACATCCCCAGCTTTTAAAAAAAATTTTAAAATTTGAGAACTGGTCTGGCTGTCATTAAATTGCTCAGGCCAGACTCAAACTTGTGTCTTCCTTTCTCGGCCTTCCAGCATGTGGGACTACGAGCATGCGCCAACGAACCAGTTCATTGAAATCTTAGGAAGTCAAGTATGAATCATGAGGAATCAAATATTTTTTAAGTACAGTAATCCTTACTGCTTATTATAGATTTGCTTCAGGATGAAAATCCACAGTTATACAACTCACACCACAGCCATTAGCAGTGGATCCTGAATACCTCCCAAACTTCAGTATCCCCCTTCGTATCCCAGCCCTAGGAAACCACTTATCTACTTTTTGTTTCTACTATTTTGGACATGTAATGTAAATGGATTCACATGTCATGTGGTATTTTCTGTCTGGTTTCTTTCTCCCACATAATGTTTGCAAAGTTAATCCTTTTACATTAGTGTATAAGTTTCTGGGCACACAGATGTTTTCATTTCTCCTAGGCAAAGTGGAATTGCTTTTAGAATTTCATTCAATCTAACTACATACAAGCCATGGTATCAGAATAGTTTTTTAAAATTTTTTTCCAGGACAGGAGCAGTGTATTTACTCTCAAAGTCACCAGTAACAGGCCACAGAGGTCTAGTAGAGGGTGACGCTGGGGTGGGATTGGAGTAGGCCTCCTCTGAGGCCACATGCCAGGGAAGATCAGTAGCCTCTGCTTTCCACAGATTTGTTCTGCATCACTGTGAAGTGGTTCTTCCAGTCACTACAGACCTTGTACAGCTACTGTGACCTTTTTTGTGACCTGTGCTTACCTCTCCTGCTAGGACATAGCCTCCTCCTGGAGAATTCCTCCCATGTCTTATTCTACCTCCGTGATTACTCTGACATTGAAAAACCACCCATGATGATTTTTACCTTGGTTTATCATGCATAACAAAACTATGTGCCAAATTGACATTTTTTAATTCATGAAAAAAGTGATGAATTTGCTAAAAGTATCTTGGATTTTTATGGTACTTATTTTATTTTTAGAAACAGGTTCCAGTAAACCTAAACTATAGAAATTAGTTTCCTAATCTCACCTACAACTTATATTTTTGCCCACATTTCTTTATTAATATTGGAGAATTTATAGGTGAATAAATGGAGATTTTTATAGAACTGTCTTTCATCACTGAAAAATGTATTTGGTATATGCATATAACTATATTTCATCAATTAGGTAATTATTAACAGTAAATGTAATTCTAGGTCATATTCTTTTTAAGATAAACAAAGCTACCTGTCAGTTACCAGAAAATACTTTCAACATAAATGAGCTCTTTGACATCTTGAACTTTATCACAGATAGAAAAAGCCTGTTCATATGGAAGAACAAACTGGTAAGAATAACATGTGCATTTACCAAAATGTTCACACCTTAAAGCAGGGCACACTGATGGCTGTTCAATAAATTAAGACTTGAAAATTTGCTCATTGCAATGTCAAATTTGCTAAAATAGATGATCATTGAAAACTTAACATATCACTTACTCAAAAATAAAATGTATTTTCTTGGAAATTTGTTTTTAAGTAATTTGGATTCCTAAAAGCAAATTCCAAAAACCATGGCAGGAAATAATTTAAAGTGATAAGGTAAAAGAATGGGTTTTTTTCTCTTAATTGCAAAATTATTATCTGCATTTATATTTTAGGTACCTAAAAATAGCAATGATCTTGTTTTCAGTGATTTCCCATTTATCTTTAATTTGGAATCCAAAATTAAATTATTACATGCTGATTCATATGTAAAAATGCAGGCATGTATGCTATATTAGTCTGATTATGGTTGCTATCACAGCATTCTCACAGCTGGGTACTTTATAAAGAAAAAAGAGTTTACTTAACTCACAGTTTATAGGTCCATGAACGTGACCCAGGCATCCTGGCAGGGCTACCCCCTCTTGCTGCATTACAGCATGGTAGAAGCAAACAGGGAACTGGCCACTTGCTGAAGGGACCAACTGTGTTGGATAATCCAGCTTAACACCCTAATGTCACAAGGTCTAATTCATCCTGTTAGACCAGAATTGATATCTGCTGAGGGCCGTGCCCGTGACCTAATCACCTCCCACTAGGTCCCACCTCATAAAGGCTCCACTACCTCTCAATACCACTGCTCTGGGACCATGCTTCCAGCACATGAACAAGACAGACACTTTCAAACCTTAGCAGGTGGTCTACATTTTTTGTTATATAAATTCTCAAACATATAAAATACGATAGTGGTATAATGAACCTCTTTGTCAAGATTCACCAGTTACCAACATTTTGTCACACTTTCTTCATCTGCCAGTTTGTTGTTTTTATAGTTATTACAGTTTTAGCAAATCCCAGGCCTAATACTTTTCACCTTTCCATACTTTATATATTTTTTTATTTTAAAAATAAAAGGAGGAAAACATTAACAGACAGACAACATTTTACAACATATCAAAAGAACAGTACAGACAATA